TATTATTAAAAAGTTTTTTATTATTAATATTATTAAAAGTGTATATTGTATTTTGTGTATTTTTATTATTTCTCATATAAAAGAACAATACAAAATAACAATAATACAAAGTTCTGTCATGAAACTCTAGATGGTGAAACCCGATAGGTTCTAAATCAGTCTGATATAATCACATCATTATTCACATGGCACATCCGATTGGTTCTAGTTGCATCAGCAGCCAATGAGGTTGCTGCTAAACATTCAAATACTCGGCTAGTGTTTGCTGTAGCAGTTGCAACGCACTTCAGAAACCCTCCACCTTCCCCAGCTCCGCCTGTATTGATCTGCTACGGGGTGATTTCATGTGCGTTACAGTGGGGCAAATAAGTATTTGATACACTGCTGATTTTTCAAGTTTTCCCACTTACAAAGAATGGAGAGATCTGTAATTTTCATCGTAGGTACACCTCAACTGTGAGAGACAGAATCAAAAAAAAAATCCAGAAAATCACATTGTATGATTTTTAAATAATTAATTTCCATTTTATTGCATGAAATAAGTATTTGATCACCTACCAACCAGCAAGAATTCTAGCTCTCACAGACCTGTTAGTTTGTCTTTAAGAAGCCCTCCTATCCTCCACTCATTACCTGTATTAATTGCACCTGTTTGAACTTGTTACCTGTATAAAAGACACCGGTCCACACACTCAATCAATCAGACTCCAACCTCTCCACTATGGGCAAGACCAAAGAGCTGTCTAAGGACACCAGGGACAAAATTGTAGACCTGCACAAGGCTGGGATGGGCTACAGGAAAATAGGCAAACAGCTTGGTGAGAAGGCAACAATTGTTGGCGCAATTATTAGAAAATGGAAGAAATTCAAGATGACTGTCAATCTCCCTCGGACTGGGGCTCCATGCAAGATCTCGCCTCGTGGAGTATCAATGATCCTGAGAAAGGTGAGGGATCAGCCTAGAACTACACGGGAGGACCTGGTCAATGACCTGAAGAGAGCTGGGACCACAGTCTCAACGGTTACCATTAGTAACACACTACACCGTCATGGATTAAAATCCTGCAGCGTGGGCAAGGTCCTCCTGCTCAAGCCAGCACATGTCCAGGCCCGTCTGAAGTTTGCCAAAGACCATCTGGATGATCCAGAGGAGGCATGGGAGAAGGTCATGTGGTCAGAGGAGACCAAAATAGAAGTTTTTGGTATAAACTCCACTCGACGTGTTTGGAGGAAGAAGAAGAATGAGTATAATCCCAAGAACACCATCCCAACCGTGAAGCATGGGGGTGGAAACATCATGCTTTGGGGGTGCTTTTCTGCAAAGGGGACAGGACGACTGCACCGTATTGAGGGGAGGATGGATGGGGCCATGTATTGCGAGATTTTGGGCAACAACCTCCTTCCCTCAGTAAGAGCATTGAAGATGGGTTGTGGCTGGGTCTTCCAGCATGACAATGACCCTAAACACACAGCCAGGGCAACTAAGGAGCGGGTTCGTAAGAAGCATTTCAAGGTCCTGGAGTGGCCTAGCCAGTCTCCAGACCTGAACCCAATAGAAAATCTATGGAGGGAGCTGAAACTCCATGTTGCCCAGCGACAGCCCCAAAACCTGAAAGATCTGGAGAACACCTGTATGGAGGAGTGGGCCAAAATCCCTGCTGCAGTGTCTGCAAACCTGGTCAAGAACTACAGGAAGCGTCTGACCTCTGTAATTGTAAACAAAGGTTTCTGTACCAAATATTAAGTTCTATTTTTCTATTGTATCAAATACTTATTTCATGCAATAAAATGGAAATTAATTATTAAAAAATCATACAATGTTATTTTCTGGATTTTTTTTTTTGATTCGGTCTCTCACAGTTGAGGTGTACCTACGATGAAAATTACAGATCTCTCCATTCTTTGTAAGTGGGAAAACTTGAAAAATCAGCAGTGTATCAAATACTTATTTGCCTCACTGTATATGTGGGGGTTATTTCAAATATGTTATATGTGCAGCAGCAGTATTTCTTACATGCTCACAGCAGCATGTCAGTGGATGTATTGGCAGTAGCAAGTCTCAGTACTTACTCTGCCGCAGCAGCAGCGTAGCAGATCTATTATGTCAAGACCAAACACATTACCATTGCCATGTATACTAAACTCTTCTTGCTGGACTATGACCCATTCTAGGACATTTAATCTCTGGCAGTTTTCAAAACAAATGAGAAGCATAAAATATTCACCAGAAGAAAATATATTGCTCTCACAGGCTTACTTTATTTCAAGTGTGTGAAATTGCCCTGCCAGTAACACCAGGTAGACACACTTGATACTCACACACAGAGACTCGGGCTGATATAGGCCTACCTTTTCCCTTGATGTTCATTGAACTGAGCAGACAATGTAATAAGATCTTCACACACACACAGAGTTCGAGACACACACACCTGCTTACTCTGTACAGGCACCTTACACAATCACACCGGCACTTATCCTACTTGTGAGAGCTTGTACATACATTCATACCAGAGCAAATAGTGCGTTTGGACTTCAACCTTCCTAAAATTAATTTGTGTGCATGCACAAACATGTAGACAGATTATTCAGATGTTTTACTGTAACGTTATATTAGTATTTAGACCCACTGAGAAGGCCATTACCATGTGACGTCAACCCATTGAACAGCAGTGACCCCCCAACCACTGACCCTCAAATATTCAATGCAACAGCAATAAATGATTTTTAGGGGTAGTAAGTTCAAAAATGGGAAGCACATAAAGGGTCAATATTTAGTCTGCAAAAGCATTTTCTTAACAACAAAAAAATCAATTTGTAACACATATAATATGCAACCTGTGCCGTTGTGTTATTATAAATACAAGATTTTTACATTCTCTGTATTGTTATTACTTTAACTTTAACCTTGTTATTAATGAATTCTGTGGTTGTTAGATTGTTGTACGGTAATATGCATGGTTGCTAAAGTGTTCTGAGTGGCTGTGTCATAATTTTTGTGAATCATCTTTAAGATCGAACCATTTTTATTCGTTCCAGCACAAGATGCATGTGCGAGTTCTGAAGCAGCTGTGTCTCTCGATCAGCCTCTGCTAGAGCTGCATTTTTATATCATGACCTAAATCACTCAAACAGACATATGGAAATGAAGCTGTTTTAGTGGCCTACAGACTGTATCTGCCAAACATAATTAAATGAATGAATCATCGCATCTGCCCTCCCATAAACTCACAACTGCTTCTGAGTCTGTGGATGTTTCTGAAATGCATTCAATTCACAACGCCCACAGCATCAATTTTAAATAACTGGATGTAAAACAGAACAATAACTAATACAAAAACGTTGCAACAAAACATGCATTTACAATATAAAAATACAGAAAATACTTTTTGTTAATGTTTTACATTTAAATGAATATATTAAAATTCTCTTGTTATACATTTATATTTAATATTGATATGAGATAAATTAGTGTGAAATAGTGACATATTTATATTCTCTACATAAATATCCAATTTCTCTAACCCTACCTTTAAAAGAAAACATTTGGAGTAGAAAAATGTATGAATTTATGAATATATATGAATCAGTTTTTACTTCTGAGGATGTTTCCAAAGGAGTTTTAGACAGATTTAAGTGACTTCACTTTTGTCCCCAAACTAAAAGTAAACCCATGTATACACATTCGCGACTAGCTCAATGTTTATGCAACAAGTTCAGTTTGTTCCCTTCTACTTCCGAAGACACTTTTGTTTCTGTTCCTAAATTACGTGTCCCCATCCCCCCCCCCCCCCCATCACACATAAAGATGTCAAAGTGAGACAATAGGTGTTGTAAAGGCCATGATTTCTATTTTTAACAATCAGTGGAAAACCTAATCCATGAGAATGACCGCAGGCTGTTTCTGTCTAGCTGAAAGCTTTTCGACTAAAAACAAGTCAAAACAGAGTCTAATAAATTGATTGACACTGATCAACACTGACACTGACAGAAACCACATTAAATTAACAACACAATAAAATGAGGTTTGGTAACAAGGTAAAATGGAAAAAGGGAAAGGTTCAGTTAAAGTGCGGTTCATTGTTCTGGAATAAAGCTTCCATCTATTCACACTGTGCAAATAGTTCAGAATCAAATAAGCATTCTGCTTTCTTAAAGGGATACTTCACCCTAAACATTTTCTCATCTCGGCATGCCAAGTTTCAACATGTATAAGTGCAAATTAGACTTGAAACTTCAGGAAGGGAAGATTTTCAGTGAATAATGCCTTGAATACAATTCATTGAGCTTTAGATGACTTGAAATACAGTGTGGGCTATATGGTGCTTTTTTGTAATTTTTTATAATGAAAGTAAATGGGGACTGGGTTGTTTGGGAAATGGATAGCCCCATTCACTTTCATTTTATTGAAAAAAGCAGAATGAACATTCTTCGAAATGTCTTCTTTTGTGTTCCACAGAAGAAATCAAATTAAATGGGTTTAGATGGCATGAGGTTTAACCTTTCAACCATTTCAACATGACAAGTTTGTGTAAGTGTAAATTAGATTTAAAACCTACGGAGCCACAGCCTTGTGGACATCCTGATGTCCCTTTACTTATTCTGTTCCCCCTCTCTGATCCTTCGTGTCTCTTCTTCACTGTGCTGTTAAATACATGCAAAAATGCCAAAGTCCCCATTCACTTCCATTAAATGGAAAAGAGCAGTATGAACATTCCTCAGAGCTTCTCTTTTTGTTTTCCACAGAAAAAAATAAAATAAAGTGTGTCTGGATCAAAATTATAGTTACTAGATGATGACTCACTTTTCATATTTGGGCGAAACATTTCTTTAGCTACAGCTACAACAGGTCAAGCTAGCTTATTAGTTACCCATCTTGAAATATTACTCTGTTACCTTTTATCATACTGCTCCCTTCCCTCCCTTCCCTCTATCTCTATCCCACTTTTATTGTCCTTAGTTTATGCGCTAGTACTGTTCATTAGTCTCTCCAACACACCCACTTAGGTCTCTTTTGTCCTTTCCCTTGTTCTTGTCAGTGAATTAGTGCTGTGAACTGCAGAAAAACCTGAAAGACAAAGAGACTGAGAACTGAAAGATAAAAGAAAGAAAAATGACCTTCGCCCTTTCAGTTCACTCAGCCCCCCTGCAGGACATGACATCACTACTGTGTAGTTTTGATCCTCTAAGGGTGAGATGAAAAGAGCTGGTATACGTACACACACAGGAATGCATCAGCTGGTCATCCTTTCATCTCAGCCAATAAGCTGCAAAGCAAGCTGAACAAGAAATGTCTCTTTTTCAGGATACTGTATTTCAAAGATAATTTGGTAAAATTCAAATTTGCTTTACTTAAAGGGGTCATATGATGCGATTTAAATTTTTCCTTTTTCTTTGGAATGTTACAAGCTCTTGGTGCATAAAGAAGATCTGGAAAGTTGCAAAGACTAAAGTCTCAAATCCAAAGAGATATTCTTTATAAAAGTTAAGAGTTAACAACGCCTACCTAAAACGGCTCGTTCTAACACGCCCCCACATATCTACCTCACTGTGTGGGAAGATTTGCATAAAGCCGCCCAAATGTTCACGCAAAGAAAGAAGGCTTAACTTTTATTCTCACTGTAATATTGTTGCCGCTGCCGCCATGCCGTGGAGACATTGTGTGCTTCGTTGTGAAAGCGAAACTACTTTGTTTGGTCTTCCAAAAGAGGACAATATCTGCTTCGTCATGCCTAGAGTTGATCTGTGCTGGTCGCTGAGGGAATACATCAACTTAGTGCTGTGGACGAAGCCCGGGGTCGTCACATATGGTTGCCGCTCCTTCGTCGAATCCGCCGGGTGTGCCGTTCTCGACCCCGCCGCCTCAGCTCACTCTAGCTCGGCCTCAGCTCATGCTAAGCCGCGGCTTTCGCTTACGCTAGGCCGCAGTGTTTTTCGTTGTGAAAGCGAAACTACTTTGTTTGGTCTTCCAAAAGAGGACAATATCTGCTTCGTCATGCCTAGAGTTGATCTGTGCTGGTCGCTGAGGGAATACATCAACTTAGTGCTGTGGACGAAGCCCGGGGTCGTCACATATGGTTGCCGCTCCTTCGTCGAATCCGCCGGGTGTGCCGTTCTCGACCCCGCCGCCTCAGCTCACTCTAGCTCGGCCTCAGCTCATGCTAAGCCGCGGCTTTCGCTTACGCTAGGCCGCAGTGTTTTTCGTTGTGAAAGCGAAACTACTTTGTTTGGTTTTCCAAAAGAGGACACGACTGTTCCAGAACAGTTTAACCCAAATTTACGCAACGCGTAAAAAGACAGTATAAGTCATTATAATCAGTAATTATGTCCCCACTGAATGCAACAAATGCCTCGTTTGTAATGGGTTTTAATGTTTTTGACTCGTCGCTCCGGCCGGACACGGCATCAACAGTATGGTAGGGGCGTAACATTTCCATCACACGCTTGAAGTATTCGGCCAATCACAACGCACTGGATAGCTGGCCAATCACAGCATACCTCGCTTTTCAGACCGATGAGCTTTGTAAAAATCGATGCGTTTCAAAAAGGCGGGGCATAGAGGAGCAACAATAATGTACAGTATGTGGAAAAGAATGTGTTTTTTAAACTTTAAAACGCATAAACACATTTCATTACACCAAATACAGAATGTTCTTTTTAGCTGCATCATATGACCCCTTTAAGCATTGTAGATTTGCAATATAACTGTACAATATAAAAATATTCACTGTAAGTCACTGGCTAAAAATGGTATGCGAAATATTTCTATTTTTATTTATAAGTTGCTTATAAATACAGATCTACTTAATTTCAGTGATGTCAGTTTCCATGTTAACAGTGATGCCTCTGCTTGGTGGATCAGATCTACGTATGTTCAGCATTATACACTAAAAAATGCTGGGTTAAAAAGGGACAAACCCAGCTATTGGGTTGTTTTGACCCAGCGGTTGGGATGTTTTGAACCCAACCGCTGGGTCAAAACAACCCAATAGCTGGGTTTGTCCCTTTTTAACCCAGCATTTTTTAGAGTGTAGTGTTCCACAATAGTGTGAATTTATGTCTTCTACAGAAGAGTTATCTGTCTTGAAAGGTTTATTTGTTATCTTTAAAAATTCTATTTTTTTAGTTCTGGAACTCTACTGTTGCACTCTGTTGTCTTCAATGCTTTTAACAACTATCTGGGCCAGTGCTAAATTGATCACATTTGGTGCCTCAACATAAGGACATATGGCAACTCTCATAACATGATCCAATGTTACAGTGAGATTCAAAATGCATAGCAAAATTACTGTTCAGTAAAACTGACACCTTTCTGACCACACATTGCTGGAATACTAAGCCATCAACAGGACCAGACTCGCCACATTTTTTAAAAATGATGGACTTTTATGTAGTAAATATGGGTGGCCACAGAGATGCTAGGATGTTCTGGGTGGCTACCAGAGTGTTGCTATGCAGCTACTAGGGTGTAATAAGTTGGGGTTGCAGTGTGGTTGGGTGTTCTGGATAGTTGCTATGAAGTTGTGTTATGAGGAATTACTATGATGGGTGTCATGAGTAGTTACCAGGGTGTTGTTAGGGTATTCTGGTAGATGCCAGGGAAATATACAGTTGTCTGAGTGTTCTCAGGGTGATAATATGCTGTTGTTAGGTGTTGTTGATGTTGGTGATGTTAGGGTGTTCTGGGTGGATGCCACGGTGATAGGTTGCCCGAGTGTTATGTGTGGTTTCTAGGGTGGTTGCCATGATAATATACAGCTGGGTGTTTGTGGGAGGTTTCTAGGGTGTTGCTATGCGTTGTCAGGGTAATATACGGTTACCTTTATTCTTCAGGTGTTTTTTGGGTTTTACTATGCAGATGTTATGAGTGGTTTCCAGGGTGTTGCTAAGGTTTTCTGGTGTTGGTAGTGGTCAGGGTAATATACAGTTACCCAAGTGCTCTCGTCGTTTCTAGGGTTTTGCTATGTGTTTGTCAGGGTAATATTACCTGGGTGTTCTGGGTGGTTTCTAGGGTGTTACTTATGTATATTATATGTATATGTAAAATATTTAGCTGTCTGTATACTTTAGTATAGGGTCCCTGACAAGGGTATCATCTTTTATGGGGGTCCTTGATGCCAAAATGTTTGCAAAAGCCTGAATGAACTAACTAAAAGTTGATTAGCTAAAAGTTATGATAGTAACATAAATTAGATAGGAGACACGAAAACAAGAGCATCGGGTCCACATACCTTCATCCAGGCTGGTCTGTAAGTGGTTGATTATGGCTGTGAGGATTGTTTCTACATTCATAATGTGTGAACACTGAGCCAGGCCTAAAGCAAACAACTCATTCCAGCAGGCCTTCATCAGCGTGATGCTGTTCTCTGAGCTAAATACCAAAAATACAGAAAAGAAAATGAGCACAGCACAAATTCACAAATAAAATCATTACACAGTGCACTGTAAAGTGTAAGGAACAGATAAGGAGAGAAAGTATGCCTGTAGTTCTGTTTCACTGCCTAAAGAGCAATATTTTAGGGTATTATATGAGCACTCCTGCACAAAGGCTGTATTAAAGGATAATTTTTTGACCAACTTCTAATGCAGCATTGCATTTATTCTTTATGTTGAAGACAATGCCTGAATGCAATGCAGTGAATTCTATAACTAAGATGGTGGAGAATGCAGGAAGTGCTGATTATAAACATAATTAATTTAGTACATTAAAAAAAAATGTATTTGTAATATTTTTAGCCCGTTTACATCTGTATTTAGTGCTATCCACTTGTGATCACCTGAAACCAGGTGTAAACGGGGCCACTCATTCACTCACCCAAGGGCCTGGAAAGCTGGAATAGAGCGTGCCCAGTGCATGGAGAGGAAAAGCAGACGGGAAGCTGATTCACAGATGTAATTCAGACTCAGGAAGTCTGGCAGGGGCAGCGGCATCATCAGCTACACAAAATATTGAATACAGATTGTTATTGGTCTATCATTTTTGGTGCGGTCACTGCAGTGTGTGCAAGTCAACAGTGACGGCTGACCTTAAAGGGCACATGCATATCTGAGAGCAGCGGTCCTTCCAGTTCCAGTAGGGCGGTGGTCTGTTCATCAACCCTGACAGCCCCCTCAGCCATCTCTTCCCCACAAACCTCCCCAGGCTGAAGCACCTTTGTGAGCGTGTCAAAGGCCCTGTACACACACAAAAAAACCCAGAACATTTAAGCACAGCCACGTACCACACATCTTCTAGGCTTGATCTACAGAAGTTGCCTTCCGCACCGTGTGACGTCATTCGACTCATCCCTTTGAATGTCCATCATAACGCTGTCATCGTTACTCATGGTCTCTATCCCCGATAGGTCGGTACTGCTGTCCATCATCTCCCGACTTTTGCTGAGGTGACCGAGAGACGTGACCACGTTGGCCAAGGTACCCAGATCTCCTTGACTAGAATCATTCTAAAGTGAACGTCAGAAAACATCAATATACATTCATGAACATGTTACACGTGTCCAGGTTAAATCTGACTTTTAAAAAAATGTATGTACAGAAAATACAAATACGTAAAAACAAACACTACCATTATATAAAACGTTTAAATAATATTTATTATTTTGCGTTATATACATATATATATTTTTTTTTACAAATAAGTTTAATTATATGTGAACCTTTCTGTGAAATCCAAGCTAAAGTTTCCAAATCTAATTATGAGATAACAAGCATCAACGTTTGATTTGAACCATTCATTTCACTATGATTTCAATCTTTGACATGGCCTTACTGAGTCAATATTAAAGATATCAAGGTTACATAGTCACAGAATGTTCTTTACATTATGAAGGATGATTTTATGTAAAACAGTAAATCACTATATATA